TTTTTTTTTTTTTTTGGGTCCGGTCATGGGTCCTGAATCTGGGCCTGGGCGCTGTCCCTCAGCTCTTCAGCTCAAAGCTAGCGCTCTACCACTTGAGCCACAGCGCCACTTCCGGCTTTTTTCTTTTTGCTTATGTGGTGCTAAGGAATCGAACCCAGGGCCTTGAGCATGCAAAGTAAGTGCTCTACCACTGAGCCACCTTCCCAGCCCCAGGTTCCTATTCTTATTAGTCACTTCATTCATTCTGCCTCCTTTCTTCAGTTCTATACTGTAATTCTTTTCTTCCTTGACAATTCAAGTTCTCTACACTTAATTTCCCTCTAGTGTTGGCTTGAAGGACTCATCTTCCTAGATGAGGAAGTGCTAAATGAAAACAATTCTTGCTCTAAGCATTCAGATGATCCTGTTACATTCAAATTCCCGTATCAAAAACAGCAACTCTCCCCTGGCTGCCAACCTAATCCCATTTCGTTCTTTCCTTTGCTTCTCCTTCAGCCTTTCCATGCAGTTGCTTCTATCTGTGATGATTGCACCTCCAGAACTCCTTTTGAAATGGCATGGCTTCTGCCTATGATCTTCTGATCATTTCCAGAATTGCTGTAATAGCTTCCAGGTGGGTAACCCTCTTTGGTTCCCTTCTCCAGCCTTAGTTATCTTGGCTCCAGATCACCAAGTTGCTTCTAAGATAGAAGGAGGTTAAGTTTACTCTCTCATTCAACAGATACTTTAAAGAACTGCTGAAGTGCAAGGCAGGAGTTAAAAAGTTGAATAAATCCCATCCACAATGTCACTCACATAAAAATGTAAAGGGATAAAATACTGAAGTACTGGGCTCTGGCTTTACCTCCGACAAGTAGAACCTGTTCTGGCTAGCACTGAAACTCCCCAATTCATCACGAGCTCGCCTTTCCAGTCCTACTTACCACAAGTTTCCTGTTACAATTCTCTGTGCACTTCGCTTACAAACAAGTTAGGAAGAATCCCTAAATGTAGTCTGCGTCCTTTCTCTGCTGTTTGGTATTGCCTCTCCCTTTGATGATATTCTACTGTCCTTTCTCCAGATCTTTGTGAGACTAACTCCTACAGGCCTTCCAGGAATCCACTTTATTCCACCCATCTTTCAGCAAGTGTAACCAATATCTCTCTGCCTTTATATTTATAGTGTAACATTTACCCAGTCTGTATTCCAGCATAAATACTTATATATCTATGCTCTGTTACTCAATTTTGCATCTCCAAAAGTGCCTTTCACATACGAGGCATTCAATACACACTGGAGTGAATGCAGCAAGCACACAAGGCAAGAAAATAACTTTTCAGCTAACCATTGCTAACATTACAAGAGGATCTTGAAGGGAACACAACTGGCTTTCTGAATGATAGCCAGAGGAAGGCCACATTTTCTTGGAAAGAGTTTACTGCTTTCTAAGAGGAGAACTCACCATCTAGGAAGAGGTTTCTCTCCTTTCCTTCCAGCTATAATTGCCTCAGGTCCCATAGTCCAGCCTGGAACTGTAAGCAATCTCAACTTTCTGTATTTCCTGGCCTAATAATTACCATAGTTTGGAGAGAGGGGTTCAGGTAGTGTGGGAATCCCATATCACACTTTATCTTTTTAATCAAGTGGTAAACAAAAAGCCTGGGCACTGGAGGCTCTGGCATGGTGGCCACAGTAAAAGTGTGCTCACAGTTATGATGGATGACTTGGCAGGGCCTGTGAGGTGCTCATGGCTGCTTCCATGAATGCAGCCTGAGAGGAAGGGTTGAACCAAAGGCATTTGGAAGGAAGGCCAAACAGAATCAACACAGCAACAGCATTGTGTGGAAAGAAGACTGCTCCAGGGAGGTGGAGACCCTAAGCATACAATACCTAGCTCTATATGAATATGTATTAAGATGGTAGAAAATGCACTAGAAGCACTCTATATGAATTGCATTTCATTGTTGGGACAAGGTAAGGGATGATGATGATGATGATGATGATGATGATGATGATGATGATGATGATGATGATGATAGTGGTGGTGGTGGTGGTGGTGGTGGTGGAGTCTACTTCCTAAGCCCTTGTGTAGTATATGAGGTTGAGCTCAAAGTGGTGCATTATTTATCTTTGTTATGGCAAAGAACTGGATCACATGATACATCCCACTGCAGAAACAAGGCATGTGCTGGGAAGAAATTCATTTGACGAATTTCTGCAAGAGGATGATTATTATTATGTGCTTGTCCAAGAGTTTGGCCTTTCCTTTCTTTCTTTTTTACATTTTTTTTTGGCAAATCTCTTTAATTCGTGGCCTGGGGAATATGCAGTCAGAAGCATTATCAGCAGTGCTGCAATTCCAAGCACACTTGGACATCACAGAGGATGAAAGGGCAGGAGTCAGGCCAGCACATGCAGATATATCCTACAAGTGTTGGGTAACAGGTATTGTATCGGGGAAAGTTCAGCAGATGTTACAAGAGCCCTGTTTCGAGGAAATTTTCATGTGTGCTGCTGCTGCAACAAGGTGAATCAACCTCTCTGTTCCCCAATGAACAGAAAACTAGGGGACGTACAGTCACAAGTAGACAGAGCAAGCAAGTACAGCAGAGCACTCCACCTCCATGCTTGATTATTAAGATCTATGCCTCTCTAGGATTAGTTTGTTTTGAGTGTCTTAAAAACTTTTGCACATTTAAAGACATGAAACCAGTCCTTAGGCTTCACCTTAAGAATGCCTAGCAATATACAGACATTTTATTCATTCTATTTTATTACTTATTTTGTTTATTGCATTTGGAACAGGGACTTAAACTCTGGGCCTGGACATTGTTTCTTCAGTTTTTTGCCCAAGACTGGAACTCTACTAGAGTCACAGTTCCATTTCTGGCTTTTTAGTGGCTAAGTGAAGATAAGAGTCTCATGGACTTTCCTGCCTGGTCTGGCTTTGAACCAAGATCCTCAGATTATAGCCTGTTGAGTAGCTAGGATTACAAGTATGAGCCACCAATGCCCAGTGAACACCTTTTGTAAGTAGTAAAGACAAGTTGGAAAGCTAAGCTCTAACAAGTACAAGAGCCACGCATTCTTCACCTGGGATTTTATGTTCCAGGTAATAGTCTGACATGACCACCTGAAATCCCATTACAGGTGTAGAGTGGCTGCTGGTATTCAAGAGCCAGAGATGATGTGAAAGTCTGTTTTACTGACACTGACCACTCTGAAACACAGCTAAAACAGAAATGTCCATCTAATCTACTCAAATAAGCCAAGGCCTACAGGCTACTACATGTAGCCAGTAAAACAAATAATTATTCTGAGTTAAAGCACTCCTGATAATTTTATCTTATTTGATTAGATCTTCTAAATATCTCAGAATACTGTTTCATCTTTTAATATAAGGAAATAAAAAAAGAGCTCCATGCTCTGCTACATCCCTCCTTTCTGAGAGAGTACAGAGTGGGTACAAAATGGAAATCAATGCAAGGATAATTAGCATTGCTAGGGGAACACATTTAAATACTGTGGTATTTAACATTAAATACACACACATACACGCACACACACACACATACTCATACACAGAAAGTAAGACCCCTTTTACACAGAATCAAGAAAATAATGAATTTTCCTTCATCAACCTTTTCGTAATAGTTTTCCTCATCTTTTGTTTTAAGATCAAAGTTATCCCTGCCCCCTATATGAAGTTTTGATTATAAGTAAAATTAGAGGCATAGATTACAAAGACAAGAATAAATTGATCAATTTATGAGTTTAATGTTCAAAATACTACAATTTAAAAGACTGTCTCTGAAACATTAAAATGACAGCGTGCATTCCAGGGCATAGCACAAAATGTTTTTATAAACAGGAAATAAATCTGAGCTTCCGAGGCCCATTCGGAGAAGTCAGGTGAAGTTGGTATGTATATCTCTGAGAAGGCAGGTGGAGTTGGTGTGTATTTCTCTGGCTGCTCCACTGTCATGTTCTGGCCTTCTATGTCTTCAGTTGAAGTTTCAGTGTGTTAGAAGTCAGATTTATACTATAAAAGTCAATTGAGTATTTACAATAAATGATTGTTTTTCAATGATAACTGATTTTATTAGTGTTTTCTATATTTTGTATTTCCACCACATATACACCCATCCATCTGAAACTGATTATGGAAATTTATTAAAAATCTTTCCAGCTTTGTCATAATATTGTTATAAAGATCAGCTGGAGTAGATGGGTGATGTTTTGTTTACAATATTAATGTTAGGCTGATGTTTTGTTTCTCCTTTTTTTTTCTTGAACAATGATTATCCCTCCCATATACACACACGTGGGCACTCTCTCTCTCTCGCTCTCTCTCTCTCTCACACACACACACACACACACAATGGGAACAATGGATCATGGAATTGAAAAGAAAAAAAACCCAAAATTTTCCCAGAGGGTCATAGAGAGGTAATTAAAAAGAAAAGATTATTGTATCAAGTTTTCAGGGTGGAGAAGCTGAAATGGAGAAAGGCAAGGGAAGAACAGGATTTACTTGTCAGGACCCTTAAAGATGTCAACTCTTTGATTTCATCTATTTTGACTGAATTAATGACTGCTACAGAGAGGAAGTAAGACTGCTGTGCACTTACCTTAGAGTGTAAAGTGAATGCGACACATTAAAGTAACAAGATCACATCATGATTGGTCATATGTCACAAGGCATTGTGAATTAAATATATCTATTTTATATTTTGATCATTTTCAAAAAAGCATATTTCTGGCCAATCATAAATGTAAAAACCACAATGAATAATCTGTTATTAGTAGATATAATAGTAGATTTTATAGTAGAATTAGTACTTTGATAACTTATCTAGAAAAAAATCAGTTTTCTTCTAAATAAGATAACCTGCTACTTCAAAGATAGGATTTGTTATTATGATTATAAAAAATACGTAATTCACAATAGCTTTTAGTTTTATTAACAAGTTTTAGTTTATTTAATTGATAACTCAATCTTTTTTGTACTTATCATTTTGAAAAGTAATGAGGTTTGGTTTGTAAAAGATCCTTCTTCAAGCTCAATTTCTCTTTGTTTCCTGTTTATGGTGCACAGACTTGAATCCAGGTACATGTTAATGCCTCTTCTAGGCACATGCTCTATCACTGAACTACATCCCTGGCCCTTGGTCTTTTGTGTAATCCAAGCTAGCCTTGAATTGCATCCTATTGTCTCTGTCTACCTAGTACTGGGATGATAGGTAAGTGTCACCATACCCAGTGCCTGAGCCCTCGATTTCTCTTTTGCATGTTCTGTTTGAGATCTGTAATGTGCTTTTGTGATTATGAGCACATAGATGTCTAAGGTGTGCATACATTTATAATACTTTAGAATCACGCAAAACACACCACATCATTTTCCCCTAAGGTTTAATTGTAATGAATACATTTCCAATGATGAACGTACTATCAATCCACGTCTTTGCTTATTTGCAATGGACAAACTTATGTATCATAACTCTTAGGTGAATAACTTTTGTCACTGTGATATTTTCGCTCTTCCTTTGTTTTTCTCTCTTCCTTCATTTTTCCCCCTCCTTGAATCATTTTTCTTCAATAGTTTAAGTCACTGCTGTTTTGGCTAAAGAGCAATCCTAGAACAGTAATGTTTCAACTTGCAAGGAAGAACGCCCTTGTTGAGCTGATAGAATTCTACCAGCTGGATGAGATCCGTGAACCTGGTGTGGCCATCATCAAGTGTGTGGAACAGGGCACCGTCATCCTCCACCTGTGGGAGGAAAGGCGACACAAGGCTTTTAAAGAACAAATCACCTAAAAAGCCAACGAGATTCAACTATAGAATATAGTGTGAGTTCGTAAAACTAAGGACAAGGACAAGAATATCACGTACGTCTACTTCTTTTTGTCATGTGACTTGCCTTTTAAAGCCAGTCTCGTGTGTTTTGTGTTAAGCTGTGCAGCTCTGTTTTCTCTATTGTGAGTTTTCTCAGGGTTCTACTCCATTCCCATAGGTCAAATATTGTGAATCAATGAACACCGAGAAATCGGTACTATTTCGTGTAAAAGCTCACGGAAGATCCCAGTGCTCCCACTTACAAAAATTAATTTCCCTTTCTAAATGCTCTCTATTTAGTGCCTCACTTACACTACTACAGATGAACATTCACATGATTTGTATCAGAAAATTAATTCTGAAGAAATCATATTTTATGCTAATATAATGTCAGCTGTCTTTTTTTATTTTGGTAGGGAAGTTTTCTGGTATTAAACAATTCATACTTGTTTGGGATATGGACCACCTAATCAAAAAAAGGGGGAAATAGTATTATAGAGTTTGGATAATTGCAAAAGGAAGCAATTCAAAAGGGAGCACTAGAAACTTAGCAATCTTGCATAACAACTTCCTGCACATAGACTGTGGGTTTTTTTTTTTTCTCTGTGCTATCTGGTTCCAATATGCACATCACATACAAGATGGACATACAGGGATTGCCCCAGAAACCTCAGAAATCCCAAAACAAGGTGTGCCACAGAAATTTCTTCCATGTTCTAAGAATGCCTGCCAGTTCCAGAGTACTTAAATTCTATCCACAATGACTGAAAACAGCCCAGTCCAAAACAGGAACAACAACAAATGAATGCTTCTGAGAGAAGAGGAGAAAGGGCTTTATACTAACATTAAAAAAACTCACTTAGTAGAATTCTGGAGAAAGATTCTTCAGTGCCCTTTGAACAATAGGTGGTATGGGTCTAAACAATATTGCTAAATCATATTTCATGGAAAAAGGAAAATTTAATTTTTACAATTCCTGTATTTCTTATATTAATTCAGGCTCATAAAACCATTTCTGCCAAACTTAACTCTAGTCAAAGCACAAACTCCCAAATTATATTGAATAAAAGCAACAAAAGAAAACCAAAGTTTCCAAAAGCTTATGCATTAAGATCATCTCTAATATACGAATGTGAAATCACAAATTACTTACTGGTATAATTTGAAAGTGCTTTACTTTTTGTCCATGACTCATTGACAGTACAAAAGTTTTTGGGTTACTCTGGCTATCCCGTACCAAGAAAACTCTGAAGAGAAAGAAAGAAGGTCCATATGTTTCTATGTTTATTCATGGAGTTCAGAGAAATACAGCATGGAACAAATCCAAGAAGTATACTCAGAAAGGTAGCCAGAGACTTTTCTACTGTTTACTCAGTGGGCAAGATTATCCAAATTGGAAAATGGTGTTATTACATAATCTTAGGTTCTAAGACTATCATCACATAATGCAATTTTAGTAGACTCACTATGTAGCCCATTTGTCAGATTGTATTCTCACAATGACCAAGATCATGTTATGAAGGCATCAATAACTACTTCTTCATTCATTTCCCAGGTATTTCCTTGTAGCTTTTTCAGAAAGAGGAATCCATTATTATACATTTATTTTAACTTTGGGGTATATGCTCTTAAAAACAATCTTAAAATTGTAATATTTTAAGTGCTGCAGCAAAATATTTTAAGTAAAAGAAACATCCAAACAGTGTGCACTTTAACCTTGAAGAATGCTGAAGAAAGGTCTCTCTAATGTCAGCCTAGAAAAACAAGCCATGGCCTAAGGAATAAGGCTGCCAGGCTTGGATTCTTATTTACTGGCAGTGCAGGGTAAAAACAGTTTTGTATTAATTACTGGCGAACACACTGTGTAAATAGTCTCCACTGGTGACTCCAATACTAATCTTACTGTGCCTGAGCAAAGAGACAGCCAAACTTGAGGCACCACAAATGTCTGCTAAGCCTATTCATTTCATTTGTACTGTGTGAAATTCCTACATTACATCACTGAGAGATGGGACAAAGGGTGTTTTGGTGGTCAATTAAGCTGTGGTACTCATTCCCCGTCCAAGTGGATCACCACTGCCACCTGGTGGACTATTTTTGCCATGACAACTTTCCAAAGAAATTTTGTTAAAAAACCTACAGTAAGTCTTCTTTGGACAATAATTTCACTTCGCTTAAAAGTACTGAGCTCAGAATTAAAGAGAATGATAACACTCCACAACAATGGTATATTTCTTTGTGATTTATCTTCTTCTTAGTCTCTTTAGATAATAATTTCACTACTTGTTTAAATATGTATACAGTACAAAGTCTTTTCTCGAGTCTGGTGAAATGCTGACCTGCTATTAATCATTCCAAATGTCAGTATTAAATCATCTCTCAAAACCTTGCTATCTTCTTAATCTAGCCCTTGAAGACAGAAGCTCCCATCATCTCATGCTTAAACTGTACTGGCCCCATTCCTTACCCAAACTTCAATACAGCTTCCCAACTCATTCTCCAAAGAAGCTGAAACACTGAGTCATTTCCACCTTCAGACTACACATCTGTCCTAATATATCTTATTCTTCTGTGACCCGCAGCACCCCATTAAAAAAGACAAATATCATCACCAACTATTCTTTTTCATAGACCTGTATTCTTTTAAGCTATTAAAATTATAGAAAGGGAGACAGGGACATATAGAGACAGGGAAAAAAGTTATCAGATATTCAAAATGTATGAGAAAATGCTTTTTAGTTATTCTATTTTGCATCATACTCCTCCCAAAATTATGAGGAATAATGTCATCATATGGAGAATATTCTGGAATTGTATTAACTATATGTTCTAATCAACATGGTGATCTCCAAAACAGGCTTACCTTTTCCATCATACATGAATATCTGAGATGTTGGAATTGACACAGTATAATACTGATAGGTAAGAAATGAAGAATTCTATCCTGTTATATATTCCTTAATATAAACACAAGCAGCACACACTGGTATTGTGGGAGGAATACAATAACTACCTCTATACATCAAAGGCACTTCTATTTTATGAGAGGTCTAGAGGACAGACTTGGTTGTTGTTGCTTTCTTGTACCAGTATGGGGATATGAACTCAGGCTGTCCCTTAGCTTTTTCACTCAAGGCTGGTGTTCTATCTCTTGAGCTTTATTCCTGTCTTTCGGCTGGTTCACTGTAGGTAAGAGTCTCTTAAGAGACTTTTCTCTTAATGCATGTTGAATAACTGTTTTAGGATAAATCCAATTATCTGCCAGCCAAAACCAAAAAGCATCAAACTTACCCATCCACAGGCCCTTGCTGAGTAATCAGTCTCTGAGCTTCATCCCTAGAGATTCTGTGGTGAAACCATGGCTGGGACCGATGAATCGCTGAAGACATAAAACGTAAGAGGAACAAAAGGGTTTGTTGGACATGAACTCTTCGTCCCAGTCTACCTTCCACCTATGCGACCACATCTCAGGGACATTCATCTACCTCTCAGTGACAATGACTGAGAACGAACATACCCAGGCTGGTGGCAGAGCTGTGTGAGGAGGCCGTGGGGCTGCCGTGATTGCCTAAGCGTAAGCATCCTTTCTTCTGAGCAAAGAAGGGGAAAACAAATCTCAACTTCTTGGGTGAAGCAAATGCAAATCATCAACAATTTAGAAGACTATGAAACTATCAGTACCCTCCACGCAAGTCCTTCCTCAACTGCCACAGAAAGGGCTTCAGTGGGATTTTCTATCACTCTGCTTTTCTGACCTGAGAAGTCCATGGCTACCAGGGAATTCTCTGAAATGCTTCTCTGGAAAAAAAAAAAAGAAGAAGACAAAACAGTTGAACCATGGAAATACGTTTGAATGTGATCTTTCCATGATTTTCCTGGCAATATACTAGTCCCAAAGAGTCTGTCAGAAGATTCAGAAGTTCAAATGTATATGTGGGATTAAACAGTCCTATAAAATACTTTCGTAGAATAAGTTATTATTTATTAAGGCAAGTGATGTAAGAACTGCATAAAAAGATGAAAACGTTAAAACAAAGTGTATCTTTCTCCTGAAAGAGACCTCTTTTGTATTTTCTCTAGTAAGATGGCAAAACTGTAACTAACAAACTAAGCACCAAGAGAAGAGTACCTGCAAGAGAAGAGGGACTGAGCCAAGAAGAGGGGTGGACAAACAAAGGCAGGAAATGGGGAGGTGGGAGGGAAGGGAATACAGTTTTTTTTATTTAATTTTATTTTATTTGTGAACATACTGTACAGAGGGGTTACAATTACATGGGCAGGATAATGCATACATTTCTTACCAAGCAT